CAGAAAACTGAGTGTGGAGGCTAAGCTTGTCCCGATCCGATATCTGGATCGGTTCGGCCGCCGATATTTGCATAAAAACTGCGTTTTGAGAACCGTCCTTTTAATAATGAGGGTTTTTTTAAACCTTAAAGCTCACAGAGACGGCTACAACATCAGGACTGGGATCGACTTTTCTCTCTGAAATCAGTTTTCCTGCCTGTGATCTATGACTGGAACTCAGAAAAAACAGAAAGGATGAAAAAAAAGAAAGATTAAAAAGCATTATAGTCCACTAGGCTTGTCCCGATCCGATATCTGGATCGGATTTGCAGATAACTGCGTATCGGCCGGCAGGAGAAAACGCAGATCCAAACTCCAGATCTAGTTTTTTAAAGTCTGATCCCACATTAGCATTAGCATTAGCATCTCCTAACCCACAGGTCTGTGTTCTAACCATTAAGTTGTTATCAGAGTAAATCCCTGTTCAACATGAGTCTGACAACTAAGTAAGTAGATAAATAACTTTAAACTTCCCTAGTGGAGGCCCCTTCATTAGAAATGTTTATGCTAACGGCTAACATGCACCACTAAAGGGAAGAGGGAGGTCCTCTAGCAGACACCAACACAGAGAAGCTAAACGTTACAGACTTTCCTTCTTTTACATGAGAAAGTATTTTATCTGCACCCTTCACTTTTCATCCGTCTAATTTTTATTATTTTTCTTTTCTTGTTTTTCTGCTTTTAAATTCTCTGTGAAGCACTTTGAATTGTCTTGTACCTGAAATGTGCTGTAAAATAAACTTACCTTGCCTTACATGTTTTATTGGCTGGGGCCCCACAGGTGTGTGACTTAACTCATTGGCTGCCAAAGACGTCTATAGACGTCTTTTATGTTTTTCAACGAGAGTGGCTGGGGGACGATCTGCTAAAGCTTGTCCGTAAATATCGGCTTCTAGACAGAGTATGTAGTAACAAATTGACCCTCTAGGGGGCAGTGCCACTTTTGATGGGAGATGAGCATAGACTGTAGGCAAATATGAAAAAGGTAACGGTTCTATGAGAGAACATGTCGCCGGTGAGACGCAAGTCCAGGAAGAACGGAATAAGGTAGAAACACATTTTTTTTCCTGATGAAAGAAGAGAGTCTACTCTTTCTTTTGGTGTGTTCGGTGTTTACATAGTCATAGCACAAACTATTCTGTGGCTCTTGAAAAATCAGTCAAAATGCTCAGAAAACTCTGGCAGTATGGGACTCTCTGTTCTGAAAATGGCTGCCAGTCAATGAGTTAAAGGGGTTCGGACCCCTGATCCCGTGTGTGTGTGTCCATTGTTCTTTTTTTGTGTGTAAAGCGTGAGTTTGTGGTGCTCACCTTCCTCTGAAACACCAAACCAAACTCCCTCAGGTGCTGCAGGAAGGTCAGCAGGGACTCGCTCATCCCCTCCACCGAGTAGTCCTGAGACGGGCCGGAGACAGCCGTCAGAGCCCCGCCCCCTCAGAGCGGCCTCGGCCAATCAGGAGGCTCCGCAGAAACCCCCTCCGTTCTACTCACTCTGCCCAGGGTGGAGAAGCTGAGCTGGAACAGGAAGGACAGGATCTCCACCAGGTCCATCCCGCGGGACTGAACACACAGAGGACAGAACACTTAGGCAGCCGATAAAACGCAGGTCCCTGAACGCACCACTCAGGACTGCATTCATTTTCAATGCGTGGCCCACAGAGCAGCCTGTAACGGGTCCAGATAACCCAGTTTCTTTTTCTTTCAATTTTATTTTTATTGTTATTTTCATGATTAACCCTGTAATGCCAAATGTGTCTTATTTGATACGGTTTCTGAAATATTTTGCGTTTGACACCTTTTGCATAATTTAATGGTAAAAACTTTGCTCAAAATCCTATTGTACACAATCAGATACACCTGATAACAGGGGGCAGAAGACTACACAAAACATAATCTTGACTTATCGCATAGTAATAAATTACTAATATCAAAAATGTATTTCTGTTTTTTCTTATTACATATTTTATTAAAAGTCCGAATAAGGAATTCAAACCAAAAAAAAGTAACTTTCTTTTTCGTTTTGTTCTTGGATCAGGCTTTAAAGGGTTAAACAAAACACCGTTCGTCTCCAGCTATCTGTTCATTACAACAGACTTATATTACTAGACATCTGTAATTTCACAGGAAATACAGATGGGGATGAATGGTTCTCCCTCTATCACACACATAAAAAAATAGATTAATAACATAGAAAAATAACAGACATAACTCCTTTGGCAAAAACCAAAAATTCTGGGGTGTGCTTCTGTTCTGCAATGGGAAAAATAAGTAAAAATTTACTGACGTATACGGGTTGAAAATGAAAGGCATAGAAAATAAAAGAAAGAAGAAGAAAGGGGGAAATGGATACTAGACCTATACAAAGGAGGGACGTATCTGATCCATCTTTTCATGAACAGAACCCTTTTTAATCTTAAAACAAAATTAATTGTTTCCATCTTAAAGATGTTGTTAATGATGTCAAACCGTTCGTCCACTGCAGCTCTTTTTAGTTTTAGCCACTTCCTGGTTACAGCTTTTTCTTAGTATCTGAAATAAATATTTGAGGCAACCCAGTCGCTCTTTCTGGGGAAAGTCAGTAAATCTGTCATCTAATCAGACTCGTCTTTATTCTGGTCCCAGTTCTTCTTCCTCACCACATGTTTTCTTAGTTTTGTTCTCAGTAACCTCAGGACTCTGTGGGGGGGGGGGGCATTACCTGAGCCGTCTTGAGGTACTGCAGAGTGAAGTACCAGAGCTGGGAGGCTGTGTCCAGCAGCAGGAACTGAAATCCGGCTGAGGTGATGTAGGGGGCCTCCCCCCCCTCACTGACAATCACAGAAACATCACAGGAAGTCAGAGCCTGAACACAGCAAAGGCTAACGGTGGTTTACACTAATTATGTCCCCATCCCGGCCTATCAGAGCATGTGTTTAAGTTTAAAGTTATTTACAGTGGGGGAAATAAGTATTTGACCCCTTGCTGATTTTGCAGGTTTGCCCACTTACAAAGAATGCTTATTTTTCCTCATCAGATGGTTATCAGTTTTTATCAATTCATATGAAGTGATTTTCTGGAATTTTCTTTGGGATTCTGTCTTTCACTGTTAGAATGTACATATGATTAAAGGTATAGATCGTTGCATTCTTTGTAAGTGGGCAAACCTGCATTTCCCCCACTGTATCTACTTCCTTAGTTGTCAGACTCATGTTGAACAGGGATTTACTCTGATAACAACTTAATGGTTAGGACACAGACCTGTGGGTTACAGATGCTAATGCTAATGCTAATGCACGTGTGGGATCGGACTTAAAGACTGATGAGAGCTGGAACATTGTGTCGACTTTGTAAGGCGCTTTTTATGCACCTTTTCCTCCTTTTGTACCCTAACCGATATGTGACCAGTGAATTTCTCCACTGTGAGATCAATAAAGCTCTTATCTTATCTATCTATCTAAAAGCGTCTAAATGCAGAAACAGAAACATAAACGCGGTGCACCTCTTCATGAGGCCGGCCTGCACCAGCAGCTGCGCCAGGTCCTGGCTCACGGCGCTGGGCGAGCCCACCATGAACTGCAGCACCACCTCCCAGCGCTCCAGCGCGTAGCGGTCCAGGCTCTGCAGGTCCCGGGCGTGGCGGTCCGGCCCCAGAGAGCTGCCCTCGTCCGCCCACGCCCTGCCCCTGAGCAAACGGGAGGGGGGGGGGGGCGAAATACAATATATAAAGAATTAAAAAAACATAGAAAAAGCTCTGGTTCCTGCTGTGTCCTCCACCAGTCGGAAGATAGAACACCAGCATTAAAAAAAAGTCGGGAACTTGCTGACATGCTTTAGAGTTAAAGGGGACATATTATGCAAAACCAGGTTTTTAATCATGTGATTGTGTACATTTGGGACTGTGGAGGGCCTATCAGCAGGCAAAGAGTGAAAAAA